AGCTTCACAGTGCTGTGCTTAACCCCTGCGCACCAGGGAGGGCCCGGGAGGCTATTTTTTTTTTTAAGTGAAGGCAATTTGCTCTAGATGAAAAGACCTAGGATTCTAAAGTAAATTGTATTTTAGGTGATAATCGGGAACATCTTATAGGTATAGCCAAGTAGAAGGTGTTACCAACGAATCATGGTTAATTTTTTAATGAAAGGATAATGACATTATGCGTCTGTAAAAAAAAAAAAAATCCATGTTTTTCTAGGTATGTATTTGGAAGTCTGTAAGACAAAATATGTTTGGGACTTTAAAATAGCAATTTTTAAAAGGGGGGCGTAAGTGAAGCATGTGGAGAGTTAACTGCCTGTGACAGATGGGAATCACTGTGCTGTTTTCTCCAAGTTTATGGGCTCCCCCTGCCTCCCCAAAAGGTAGAGAAAATATGAATTACCGACATAGGAAACATACATATATCTCAGGCATTCAGTGGACAAGACAGGAACACTTTATACCAACATATTTTGCCCCTTAGATAAAATGGGAAAATTGCTTTAACGCCACAAACTAGACCCCTTCCCTGGTGGCGCAACAGGTTAAAGCACAGCACTATGAAGCGATCTGCAGCCACTTAGCCACTGCAGCGCGAGTTCAATTCCTGGCCAGGGAGCTGACCCCATGGCACCGCAGCCCTCTCCTGTCTCCCCGCTGCTCCCCTCAGCGGTGCACTTTGTCCATCTGCCTGTTCTGCTCCCCGCTCTGTCTCTGGTGAATCCTCTCACCCCCTGCACCTCTGGCCTGTACGCAGTTCTCTATGAATAAATAATTGTTTAAAAAATCATATTAAAAATAAAGACACAAACTACCAAAGCTCACTCAAGAAAAATAGTCCCATGGTGTGCTATTTGTGAGCTTTTCCCCAGAGCTAAAACTCTAGCGTAGAGGTAAGTGGCCCCATTAGCAAATTCTACGGGAACAGTTAAGCAAGAAATAATGCCAATATGAAAGAAAATTTTCTAGAAAACCCAAGAGGAAGGAGCACTTTTCACCTCCTTTTCTGAGGCCACTATCACCCTGACAACAAGACCAAATAAAGACATTCTTAGGAAGAAAGGAAAGATTCAGCTGAATGAGCCCAGCGGGTTCTCTTAGGGCAGAAACGGACCAGTTAATTCTAAAATGGGTAAGAGAGAAACCTCCAGTGGCTCAAGCTGCGCGTCGGGCATGCCGGTGGGAGCGGGCGGCGGGCTGGGCTGGCGCGTGCGGTCATAGGGTCTCGGGGGGCC